AAAAAAAATAGCCAGGCCCCTTGGCACATGCCTGTTGACCCAGCTACTTGGGAGGCTGAGGTGAGAGGATCACTCAAGCCCAGAAGTTCAAGGCTGGAAGGAGTTGTGATCCAGTCATTGCATTCCAGCCTGGGTGACAGAGCAAGACCCTGTCTCAAAAAATAAGTTTTCTAAGATTTTTAAATTGACCACTTATGTGGAAATTAATTGATCAGAGCTTTCTAGCCATATGGGTAGCTGAAAGGGGAGGAGGCACAGGAGGTACCAGCTTTACTAAAGAAAAGAGAAAGGGAGAGGTTGGCAGCAAGCAGCGCCTCATGGAACAGATGCATCTGGGTGAGGACAGGAGGACACTGGACGCTAGGAGTCATCAAGCAGAGCAGGGAAGACAGAGTCATGCAGGCTGGGCAGTCCTGGGGGCTGCTTCCCCCACTTCTCAGGCCTGCAGCTGGTCACCACGAAACCTCAGGCCTCTGAAGTGTGGCCCCTCAGACCTGAAAGCCCTTTAAGATGCCCTGAGCAGATGCCATCGCTGTGTCAGAACCCTGGAGCAGAAAGGGCTGGCAAGGCTGGCAGGTGGACCCCTCTCCTCACCCTGTGGGAGCCTCTGGAACCCTCAGCATTTCTTTATTTTTTTGAGATGGAGTCTTGCCCTGTCACCCAGGCTGGAGTGCAGTGGTGTGATCTTAGCTCACTGCAACCTCCATCTCCCAGGTTCAAGTGATTCTCCTGCTTCAGCCTCTCAAGTAGCTGGGATTACAGGTGTGCACCACCACACCTGGCTAATTCTTGTATCTTTAGTAGAGACAGGGTTTCACCATGTTGGCCAGGTCGGTCTTGAACTCCTGAGCTCAGGCAATCTGCCCACTGCGGCCTCCCAAAGTGCTGGGATTCCAGGCATGAGCCACCGTGCCTGGCTGGAACCCTGGGTATTTCTGTCTTCCTCTCATTGGAGCCTCTTGTACTCAATGCTGAAGGTCTCCTAGTGGCCTCCCCATGAACACATTTTTGCAGGATTTGGCCAAGAGCGAAGTAAAAAGAAGAGCTGGTTTTGAAAAGGCAGAAGTAGGAAGAAGCAAATGGGGATTTCAGCACTGGCCTGAGTTCTGTTTCCTAGGGCATAGGGAATTCTGTGAAGAGCAGGTGAGGATTTGGCCTGGGATTCTCAGGGAGGGACCAGAAGGCAGGAGGCCTCAGAGCAGGGCAGCCCTTTGGGCAAAGCTGCCACCTCCTGCTCGGGCCCGGCCAGGCTGGGCTGGGCTGGGTGCGGCAGGCAGGGAGATGGTGTGTTGAAATTAAAATTGGTGGAGGAATTTGAGGAATGGGGGAGGGTGGGAGAACAGTAATTACACAGTTCTGTGCATGAGGGCTGACCTGGAGGGCCTAAGCAGGCACTGGCGTGGAGGTGGGAAGGTGGGGGATTCTCATGTGCAGTGGTCAACGGTTATGCTTGTCCAGCAACTTCTGCTTCCCTTCTTCTGGACAGCACCTCACTTTTCTGAGGGGGAACTATGTCTCCCGCAGTTCCATCATGGTCCCGGTGGGGCTGTCAGCACAGGATCCCAGCCAGCCAGTAAGACTGTCTGAGAGATTTGAACCTGGAGGTCACACAAGGAGGCTGGCACCGCATCTGCCCAGCGGCAGTCTTCCTATTCCTGAAACCCCAGTCCCTCCTTTCCCAGCATTCCTGAGGTCTTGGGATTCAACTCCAACTCTATGAACTAGGAAGTTTTATTTTCATTTTTATTTTTATTTGAGACGGAGTCTCACTCTGTTGCCCACCACTGGAGTGCAGTGGTGCAATCTCAGCTCACTGAAACTTCCACCTTCCAGGTTTAAGCAATTCTCCTGCCTTAGCCTCCTGAGTAGCTGGGATTACAGGCATGCACCACCACACCCAGCTAATTTTTGTATTTTTAGTAGAGACAAGGTTTCACCCTGTTGGCCAGGCTGGTCTCAAATTCCTGACCTCAGGTGATCTACCTGCCTGAGCCTCCCAAAGTGCTGGGATTACAGGCGTAAGCCACCATGCCCGGCCAGAAGTTTTTAAATAAATGCTCTTTTTGGCTTAAGTTCATTAAATCCAAACTGACACCTCATGCAAAACCTGAGCTATGGTAACAATAATCCCCATTATTTGCAGCATGAATACACTAAGTGAGTTTTACCCTGTGCCGAGAATAGTGTGGGACACATCATATACATTAATCTGATTCTTCTTGTACAGATGCAGCAACTAGGACATAGAGATAGAGATCGTGTCTAGAGAGCCACATTTAAAAGAGATAGAAAAGGGATTCAGGTCCAGCTTTTTTTTTTTTTTTTTGAGATGG